GGTTTTGGGGTCCATTATAATTATACTATATTTATAATAAGGAACCCCCCCCTAAAATAGTCTCGGTAAGTAATTCGGCCGTCACATTATGAACAAGTTGGATCCAGGAATTCTTCCAAGCAGGCTGCGCATAGCACATCACGAAGTAGTGGCCGTCCATCGCCCTGTGCCCCTTTCCCCAGCCTTTTCCCGGATCTGTGTGGCTGCGTGACTAGATGGGAAGTTGTCAAAATTATGGTCCCTTTTGGGGTACCCTAAATAATAGGTGCCGTATTATACTAAGGACCCAAAAGGGACCATAATTTTGACAACCACCCAGATGATTTTCGCTAAGCCGCTACATGGAGAGAGGCCTGAGAGTATGACGTGGCCAAACAGGCCAGGCTTTGCTGCTAAGAATAAGCTAATGCACAAGCCTTCTGACAACCCCTACTCTACCCCTGAGCATCAAAATAGCCCAAAAGCCTTATCGAATAGGGTCTTTGGGCCCAGAAGCTTTTAAATTAGGAGTTCTTTGAGGGTAAGGGTACATGCACCGTTTACACCCTGAGCCGTGAAGTCCTGCACCTCGTAAGCCCTTAGCCCTAAAACCCTCAACAAACCCTGCTACACTCACACTTCCAAAGTTTAGGGTTTAGGGTTTAGGGTTTAACTTAAAAACAAACACCTCGCTCCCGACCTTGTCCGGCTTGTCGAGCACAATGTAGACCTCATGTGCTCTTCTGCGTGTTAGCTCAAGTATAATAGGAACCAGAAGCAAAAGCCTCAACCCTAAAGCCTAGACCTTAAATTCTAAACCGAGAGCTCAACAACAGAAGATACGGCATCTTATATATACCTGTAGCCTCCATTGTAGTTCCTTTTTTGGTTTAACCAATTATATATTAAGGATTTTAGAAGGCATCCCCAAAAAGGAACTACAATGGAGGCTATAGGTAGAGTCTATGGAGCCCGATAAGCATACTCCCAACAAAAAAGCATTCAAGTATGGCACTTCAAAGTTCAGTACCGCTGAACATCCAAGAGACACGGCCCATGGCATCCTTCACCATGCCCTGAGCAGTTGAGGATTTCAGGGTTTTAGGGTTTAGGGTTTAGGGATTAGGCTTTAGGGTTCAGGGTTAAGGGTTTAGGGATTTGTTTTGGACTTTTTAGGCTTTAGGGTTCAGGGTTTAGGGTTTTAGTAGCCTTTTTAGGCTTTAGGGTTCAGGGTTTAGGTTTTAGGGTTTAGGGATTTGTTTGGACTTTTTAGGCTTTAGGGTTCAGGGTTTAGGTTTTAGGGTTTAGGGTTTAGGGTTTAGGGATTTGTTTTAGCTAGTTAAGGTTCGGGGGTTTGCCTAAACCCGTGGCGTTTAGGTTTTAGTGATATGGGGGTTTCCGAAAATAGGGGGACCCTAATGTAGTACCCTAGATAGTAGGATCCTGCTTATAAGGACCCCAAAATACGGTAATTACCCCTTAGCTTCGGAAACTCCCATATGTTTTTCTAAACCCTAAACCCTAAGCCCTAAACCCTAAACCCTAAACCCTAAGCCCTCAACCCTCAACCCTAAACCCTAAACCCTAAACCCTAAAACCCTAAACCCGAACCCGTTCAGGGCTTGAGGGATTCAGCTTCAGCTTGAGGCTTGGGGAAGTAGGATCCGAAGAGTTGAGCCCAGGTCCGGCCTCCAGACTCACACGGTTTAGGGTTTTAGGGTTTAGGGTTTTAGGGTTTAGGGTTTAGGGTTTCAGGGTTTAGGGCTAAAGGGTTCTAGGGTTTAGGGTTTAGGGTTTGGGGTTTAGGGTTCGGGGTTGAGGGTTTTAGGGTTTTAGGGTTTAGGGTTTTGGGGATTAGGGGTTTAGGGTTTAGGGTTTTAGGGGCTTAGGGTTTAGGGTGTAGGGACCTCTAACTCTGCAAGCAAAGGCTGTCGGAAAGCCGAATGCCGACTTTAGGAGCCGAAATAATTACCAGCACTACTTTGGGTGTTCCTTGTTATAACTCTAGTCTAATGTGCCCACAAACCCTATTCTAATTATTAAGGCACCCACACCCTAAACCTTTATAGTGGAACCTTATAGTAGCCCTTATAGAACCGTTTAAGGAACCCTCTCAATCTCCTGACCATCGGAAACCCTGAACTCTCTTCTCACCTAGACCTAGACCTTCAGCCTCGGAAGTGGAAACTCAAGGATCCAACTTGCCTAAGCCGAAAGCGCCTAAGTCCCAAAACGGTTTAGGGTTTAGGGTTTAGGGTTTTAGGGTTTTAGGGTTTATGGTTTTAGGGTTTTAGGGGTTAGGGTTTAGTTAGGGCTTTAGGGGTTTAGGGTTTAGGGTTTAAACATTAAGCATACGCACTGAGCCCCACAGGCACAGACTTGAACCTGATGAACCGCGAAACCATGAAGCCCTGAAGCCGTCTTAACAAGAACAGCCATTAAAAGCTAAAGGCGAAACCCTCACCCCAAGTATCCCAAAACAATGCCACAGAAATAACAAAAGCAAAGACAAACTTGATTGAGCCCCTCTCGTACCGAGAAACTCAAGCTTTTACCATCCCGTTGAAACACTCGTAGTTCGGTACGCACTCAAGCATGCTAAACTACTAAGCAACCTGATAGCGCCCTCTTGAAAGTCCTGAAACCCGAAACAAAAAAACGTGCAACAACTATGTTCAACAGCAAAACATTTGACCACAAACACAAGCAACTACAACGATAGCAATCACACCCCACCTCCCCCCTCAAACAAACAACAAAAACAAGAAACATGTACCGAAAGGATAACAAAAATAACAAGGATAATAATCCTACTGATAGTAACAACAACAGTACTTAGACTAATAAGAACCCTGGCAACAATGATGTAGAAGCCTTCATAGCCAGAATGGGGCTTTGGGATCTATCATACTATAATTATGAAAAGGAACCCCCAACCCTAAACCCTAAACCCCTAAACCCTTAACCCATAGCCCAAAACCCCAAACCCCTAAACCCTAAACCCTAAATCCTAAACCCTAAACCCCCCCATATTAGCACACATAAAAACAAGGCGGGGCCTGGCCAAGCAGGCAGTCCAGCTCCACGAAGCGGTCGAAGGCGTTCTTGGCGAACTTGAGCGCCGGCTTGTACCTTACGATAGGCGTTCGGGTTTAGGGTTTAGGGTTCAGGGGGGCTTGTGCCTTACGATAGGGTTTAGGGTTTAGGGTTTCAGGGTTTAGGGTTAAGGGTTAGGGGCCTGAATACTTCGACTAGGGTCTTGAGGTAGATTGTAGTACAATTCTAAATAATTCGATTAGGGTTTTCAGGTAGGTTATAGTACAACTATGAATAATTCGATTAAGGTTTTTGGGGTATAATCTAATACAATTAGTAGATTATATAGTACAATCGTAACAAGGCAGAACATGAGGGAATTCTTCGGCTTCTACAGCACTCGTGTTTGCTCGGTTCGTGGTGGTGGTGCTGCGGTTTTTTGTTGGCGATTGCCTGTTAAAGTTTGAGTTTAGGGCAGGGTTTAGGCTGTAGCCAATAGGTTCCCTTTACTTAGGCCTTGAGGTTCATACGCATTTGCAAAGTTGCTTGTCATAAGAGTCCGATCTGGCTTCATCTCAGAATGTGCTTTGGTCTTGTATAATCCATAAGCGGAGCTTCATAGGCAGGTCGGTTTGAGGTTAGGAGTTTTGGGGGGCTTCAGAACTTTTGAACATGTTTCGTTCACTCGTTCACCTGGAGCTTTGCCACCTGAAACGAAGACAACATGAGACACCTGAACGCTTTTGCGGCTTTCGCAATGACCCCTCAAGCTCTTGCAAAGGGCTGTTTGAGCTCCGTCATGATCTCGATGATCATGTACACGCACATGGCCTGCCATCAAGTGTTCGGTGATGAAGGGGTCGGGGTAATCAGTGATACTGGCCTCCATTACGAGTCCCAGCTCAGTCTCAATGTAGCTCTAAGCACAATGTACTCGAAAGGCCTATTCCACGTACTAAGGCCCCCCTTGGTACATTTGTGGGAGTGTCTGCCTCGCTGGCTACAGCTACGTCGTTTAACTGACATTGGTGTAATCGTGAGCTGCAAGGGGCTACAGGAAACGGGTGCCAGTGAAACCAAACAGGAAGCGGCAAGAGAACTCACGGAATAGAGTAGGTTCTTTGAACTCAAGGCCCAAGAACCCAGCCTAAGCCCTCCACCCAGAGCCCAAAGCGCTAGATCCCTGCGAGCCTTCGCTAAACCCTAAACCCTAAGCCAACAGAGTTAAAGGAAACTACAGGTGGATAGTTTAGGGTATATAGGGCTTCTATAAGGCTTCTAAGGCATATAGACCTTCTTTCAGGCTCCTACAACGGTAACTCCTCCCCTTTGAAAATGTCTTAGACAGAAGCCCTCAAAGTCCCTCACGCGCCTCGCGGCGGTGCTTGGCGCCATTGGGAATGCCGGCGGGGCCCAGGGCGCGGAAGATTTCCAGCGTCTGGGGAAGGGCTCGAAGCCAATAGGGCCCCATGTTGTTGCGGTTTAGGGTTTAGGGTTTACTGTAGTATTTAAGGCTTAGGATTTAAGG